CATAACCTGAGCTGAAGTCAGACGCTTCACCGACTGAGCCATCCAAGCGCCCCCAGAATCATTTTTCTTACCAAAATCAGGTGTTGGGTTTGCACTTGATAGTTGTAAGTGGCCATACCAACCCCACCAAACCATGGCATTTTACTTTTTAAGTGTTTAAACAATCTGTAAAAAGAGATTAGGATTTCACTCGACTTTTCTTCCTAGGGTGTGTACTGGGGGATATAATGAATAGTTGCTTATATTAGTAGTGTATCTGTTTCTTAGAAAATTCTCTCTTTTAGATGAAGAACTTTGGTAGTCACCAGTTTCTAGAATCTTTTGAACTAGAAGGGACCACAGAGTGCACGGGCCACCTCTGCCTTCAGTATGGCAAAACCAAAGGCCGTGGGGACGCATACCCTCTATCCTTGTGAGGACTCCCAGCCTGCCCTGTTCTAGTAATTTCACCATGGAGTTTTATTTGCTCTGTCAAGCCATTTTTCCTGATATTCAATCAAAAACTCCTTTAAGCGCGTTTTTCATATATCAAGACATCCATAGTGATGGAAATACACTTAGCATCATCCTTCTCAGACACATCTCTCCAATTTTGCCTCTCTTTGCTCTCACTGCCACTGTCTAATTCAGATTCTGATTGTGTCTCATTTAGACTGCAATCCCAGCTCCCAACTTTCTAAGATCTTTGCTACTGTTGTCTTTCCATTCAATGTTTCTTCCAGATTCATAGTCCTGAGAGGTAGGTGTTCCTTACCATTAAAATGCTTTATAGGATGGTGTCCAGGCTTGTCAGTTTCATGGTCTGGACCATATGTTAGAAAGTATGTTCTGTTGAGAATGGAGTTAAATCCTGGGCGCCTGGGTGGCTCAGTCGTTAAACATCTGCCTTTGGCTTGAGTTGCGATCCTGGGGTCCTGGGATCAAGCCCCGCATTGGGTTCCCTGCTCAGTGGGAGGCTTGCTTCTCTTTCTGTCTCTCTCTCTCCCACTCCCCCTGCTTGTGTTCCCTCTCTGGCTGTCTCTCTCTGTCAAATAAATAAATAAAATAAAAAATGTTCCTTATTTCTTAAAAAAAAAAGAGAGAGAGAGAATGGAGTTAAATCCTAAAATATTAGTGGCTTAAATAAGAAAGAAATCTATTTCTATCTTATATAAAAGACGACCAGAGTAAGGCAGGCCAGGGCTCAGAGGGTAGTTCCATAGTCTTAAGCTCATTCTGTTGTGCTGCTCTGCAGCGTAGAAAACACCCTTGTCCTGTGGCCTCTGGGACCAAGATGAGTGCTTGAGTCCAGCTGTCACATCAACATTCCAACCAGCAAGAAGGAAGAAAGAGGGAAGGCTGGGCCTCCATCTTTTAAGGACACTTCCTAGAAGTCACTTACAATACTTTAACCTGCATTTTATTGGCTAAAACTTAGACATATAGGCTATCTAAGGATAGCCTATTGCAAGAAAGCTGAAAAATGTAGTCTTTTAAATAGTTTACCCAGCTAAGAATTGGAGTCCTTGTTGCCAGGAAAGAAGAGACTGGATCTGGGCAGTCACTAGAATGTCTGCCGCAGGACCTTTCCACCAGCCTTGTTCCTCTCCCCACCCCAGAGCATTCTCACCCAGCCCTTTATCTTCAGCCTGTTAGTGGCTACAGTAAATCTCTTAGTAGTCCTTTACCACGTCAGGCCCTTTCACAACTCTGGGCCTTTACCTGCAGTGCCCTTTCCCTTTCTCATCTTTCTCACGTCTATACGTCCTCCAAGCTCAGGTCACTCCCTCAGTGCAGTTTTCTTATCTTCTTTTTTTTATTCTTATGTTAATCCCCATACATTACATAGTTTTCTTATCTTCTTAACAGTGACAACATAACACTAATTCCTGGAGGCACATAGCAGTGGAAGAGCTTTCTGGACTTAGTAGTGGAACACACTTGGGTTTGAATCTTTTCTCCCCAGCTTGGCCTGGAAAGTATAAATATGGAAGGACTCAGCATATAGAGTGTGTTTAAAGCCACAGCCCAGACCTCTCTTTTTGAGTTCCAGACCTTTCTATTGAACTGCTTACTCAAGAGCATCAAATAGAAACACCTCTGAAGTAGAACTCGTGGTTTTCACCTCCTCCTCTAGCCTTTTTTGGGCCAGTAAAGATGCCTCTATCGACCTAGCTGCAGATGTCAGAAAGCTGGAAATCACCATTCACTTCTCATAGCTAATGCTCTGTAAGCTCTCCTATCTGATCACCACCAAAATCTATCAGCTCAACTCCACAATATGTCTTAGGTTAATCCTTTTCATTCCATCTGCAGTGCCTGCGTCATAGCACAGTCCTCGCATGTCTGGACTGCTGCGGTAGCTCCTCGCTGGCCTCCCTCCCTCCGCTCTCCACCTGTTTGAACCTCTCCTCGGGCAGTGTCACTTGCGTGCACAAAATCCTTAGCCAGCTTCCCCTTGTATTTAGGTTTCAATTTAGGATGCGTAAATCCTAGAAGACCCCAGCTGACTTGATTCCTGTTACTTCTCATCCTCATCCCTTGCTGTGCCTGTTCTTATGCTCACTATGCTCTGGCTACATGGTTTTCTTTCTGTTCCATGTTTGTGCCAAGAACCTCTCACCTCCGCCCCTTCCCACGTGCCATTTCCCACCTGGGGTCTTCTGTCCCCGTCTTCACTCCTGAACACACCATCCTCGGGTGTCAGCTTAAATGTCACTTCCCTGCAGGGCCTCTTTTCCTGACCTCTTAATCTAAATTGTATATTGAGAGAACTCTTCCTCCTTAGAACTGTTCTTCTTAGCCTTCATCACAATTTATAACTTTATATTTATTGAGTGGTTGTTTATTGAATATCACTCGCACATTAAAGTATATGTTGTGTAAGGGATGGAACCATATTTCTTTTATTCACTGAATGCTTAGTTCCCATGGCTCAATAAATACACATGGAATAAATGAAGAATCTCATGATTAAACAGTGTGGTAGATCTCTCATTAAACTGACAACTTTGCTATTAGTGTAGCAAGACGTAGTTGTTGGAAACCTATGAAGGTGATTCACCTTTCTAACCTGGCATTGCGTTTCTTCACATTCATTGAACGTATCTATGATGCTCACCTGCAGGGCTAAAAGCTTCAGTTTAATTTATTGGAATGCATCTTTGAACAAAGCTTTGTTTCTGTCAGGATATCCTTATGAACACAGAACTTGAAAAGGTCATGTGCAGGTGTAAAATCTGAAAATCACAATTGGGTTCGCTTCCATGGCTAGCCTTCTTTCTTTGATGTGACTGCTGCAGCCTGGCATAACCTTCGGAACAGAAGACTTGCTTGTTGTTGGGATGGGATCTAAAGCAATAGTTATTTTAAGTTGGAACCATCAGTGACTGTGATAGAAGGTTACATGTCCAGGATTTGGGCTGCCGTAGAAAACCCCCTTGATTGCCAACTCTTGAGACTGAAAGTTCAGCTAGCAGATATCTAGGTAGAGTGTACTGGTTCGTGGTATCTCGAGCCTCCTAATCTTTTCTGAATGAACTTGTTCTGCAGAACACATTGGCAAGATATGTTATGGAGCAGATCAACAACTTGTGTGTTTGTTTTTTCTCCCCCAGAGTATAAAAGATGTTCTGGAAGCATCTAATGATCTTGGAATCCTGAACTATGGTCTAAAATAAAAGATGGATATCCTCTTTTACTGAGGGACAGGGTGATCAACAATGGGAAAGTTTTCGTTTGTTTTTTTGTTTTTGGAAAACAGTGAGAATTCTGCTTTCAGTGGGCACTATGGTAGGCATATTTCAGCCTAGATGGAAAAGCAAACAGTTGATCATTCTTAAGCCCCAGTAGGTCAGATCATGTCAGTGTTTCCAGAGTACGCCCAGAATGGTAAAACTTGGCCTTAAGCTGAGCCTTTGCTAAGAGGCTGAAAAGGTCCTGAAAAGGATTTATTTATTTATTTTGGCCTGGGTAATGTCTAAATGATGATAAGTACAAGTCTCTCTTAGCTATCTGGAGTGGGGCCCACATGAATTTGTTGTGACCCCTAGAATCCAGAAACTCCAGTATAGTTGGATAAGAATATTCTGTGGGAGAACTCTAAAGTAACACATGAAAATACAAAATATTAAATGTTCAAAAGTGTATAATTTGCTGCATTTGTTCATGAGTGGTTTTAATACATCTGGTACAGAGCCTAACTCCCTCTTTATTGGGGAGATGTGGTTTCAGTTTCTTGGGTGAATGTTCATTTTATAAGTTTCTTAAGAAAGGAAATTAAACATTTAAAGACTTTAAATACTCTTTATATAATGTCACAGAGAAAAGCCAGGAAAATCAGGGTTGGCTTTTTTATTTATTTATTTAATAAATATAATCTATTTTCCACCATTTTGTTTGTTATGGCTGGTACCAAAGTACTTTTAAAAGTTAACATTTATTTTGATTTCAGCAGATGTGCATAATAAATTAACCTATCTCTATTCTTCACTGTGGGCTGGGGCAATATTTCACATCTAATATGTTTGGCATTTTGACACCTAGCCCGTTGAGCTCAGTTCAGCAGTTTGATGCTCTCCACTTGTATGACGCTTAGCATTTGAGTAACATTAAAAAGATCAAATGTGGCCTGCTGAGCATGAGCATTAATGCAAGTTGGTGATGTGATTGACCTTAGCTAAGTCTCTTAACTACGGTGGGCCTGGGTTTCCTTTTCTGTAAAGTGTGTAGTTTAGGGTAAATGGTGCTCTGAATTTAAAAATCCCACTGGGTGCCTGGGTGGCTCAGTCTGACTCTTGGTTTCGGCTCAGGTTAGGATCTCTTGGGTCGCGAGATGGAGACCCATGTTGGCTCCCTGCTCAGCGGGGAGTCTGCTTGAAGATTCTTTCCCTCTGCCCCTCCCCCCACTCTTTCTAAAAAAATTAAATAAATCTTAAAAAAAAAAATCCTATGAGTCTATATGCCTAATAGATATGCACCTAACTGATTCCTCTTCTCTTTTTCTTCTCTTCTTATTTTAGGAAAAGAGGATGCTGATGCTCCAGTTACAAAAGATGAGAGCACCTCCATGTCACAGGACCCAAGAGCTTTACCAGAGAAATCGCTGCAAAGATCAGCAAAGGTCATTGCCCACAGATTTTCTGCACATGTCCAAATGACTGTCACCTGAGCCACGTGTCAGGGGTATCTCATGCAGTTCAGTTAGCACTGTAGTTGATTAGTTAATCAGAAAAGTCAGTGGAAGCAAGGAGTCATAAAAAGCTAATACTTTGTATAAGTTTAAAGACATACATATATGTTGATTTGCCTGTGTTTGGATGAAGGTCCACAGCCTTTTCTTTTTGTGTGGGTATGTTTATTGAAGTTCTGCATTATCTTTTTCTGCTTAAACCACACTTGTAATGTGATGTCTTTGATTTCCAGTTTGGGTTATGTAAAGTGGAATGAGAATTTAGGCACCACGTGAAGCAATATGAATATAGACTCCTTCTAGATTCTTAGTTTTTTGCTTCAATTTTTTTTATTGTTGTCATGTCCATATCTAATTCAAAAGTAAGTTTTTAATGTCTTTTTTAGTTTTCCCCAAGTATTTAATTTAGTTATTGTAGACACAAAAAATTGCTTTTGCATCCTGTCTATTAGTTTGCATAGTTCAATTTTATTTTTCAATTATATATACTAGTGGCTTATTTAGATGTGGGATCAAACATGGCTGACCCTAGCTATGCAGATAGCTCATGGTAGAAGAAGTGGTTCAATAGGTGGTAATAGGCATGAAGCTTTCTCTACCAGAGGCATCCTTCAGCATGTTCAGCGTGCAGTGGTAGGGTTGTCACCTCAATCTAGCAAGTGGGTTAAGACAGTACCTCTTGCATATTGACATGAGGAATTTCTAAATTATATTACATATATGTTACCCTCAACTGCCTCTCCAGTTATTTGAATAAGCATTTTGAATACTAACCATATGCCTATATACCAGGCAGCATGCTAGGAGATTGTAATGAATGGAGAACCTGTGGGCTAGATCTGGCTTACAAACTTGTGTTTTGTGTGACCTGTGCAGCATTTAAAAGTTTTGACTAAGTAGCCTATTAAAAAAAGAGAGAGAGAGAGACTTCTGGCTTCTCTTGACTAAACAAAACATCTGGCAACACTGGGCCACATTCTTCAATGACTTCAGTCAGAGCTGAGTACAGGCAACCCTCTGTAGATGGAACTTGTGTTCTGCAATTGGCTACTGCCCCCTCAATGGTACCCTCTCACTTGCTGGGTTTGTTTGGTTTTTTTGGGATAGTTTCTTAGTGTATTCAATCTAAAAGCACAAGGCAAAACAGCACTTGTATGCAAAACTTATGCTGTCGTCAAGTCATTTCTACTACAACTAATGTATGAATCACAGGTAATGTCAAGCTGCTTCATACACTTCTCGTGCTGTCAGATATTAAAGCAAGAAGCAAGGACTTCTCGTTCAGACAAGATGGCATAGACTCGTTTCTCCTTGCTCTTTCCTATTAGTACAACTATAAACCCTGGAAAATAATAGGAAGCAACCGTAAGAGAATTCTGAAGGGTGAAGAGAGGAAGGCAAGTTAGTTAGGGACTCCTCTCTATTCCCCCAGAGGTAGTAGATGGCTGGGGAATGCCAGTAAGGAGGATCCTGCCACAGCAGGTATGTGGTCCAGGAAACCTTTTTCCTCATGGGTCTGAGACACTGCTTTCCCACCCAGAGACACTGTGCAGTCAGGTAGCACCAGGGTCCTATCACAACTAAAAACCTTAAATGGGAAGTTTCTTTGTCCCTGTATGGACATGGATCTGTTTCTAATCCATACTAGAGAGACCAGGTGGCCAGCCTTGAGAAAGTTCTTTTCACCCCCTTAGGCAGTACCGGCAGAGACCAGCTGGAGCCCCAGTGGTTCCATGTCAACCAAATATCAAAATACTACTGCACAGTCTCTCCAAGTGAAATTGTCACTGGAACTAGAGCCCACAAAAGTAGTTCAGGACCTCTGTGCTAAAACAAGATAGGGTAACCTGCCTACTAAAAGAAAAGATTTTAGTAAGACCTTGAATCTCTAACATAATAGACAAAAGGTCCAGGATAGAGAAGGATGCCTCTGGTAGAGAAAGCTTCATGCCTATTACCACCTATTGAAAATCATTCATTTTACCAAGAACCAGGACATCATCACTTGAGTGAGGAGAGACAACTAACTGATGCCAACAACAAGATGTTACAGTTATCTGACAGTGATTTAATTTATTTATTTTTTTAAGATTTTTTTTTTTTTTTTTTAATTCATGAGAGACAGAGCGAGAGAGAAAGGCAGAGGGAGAAGCAGGCTCCCAAGGAGCAGGGAGCCTGATGAGGGACTCGATCCCAGGACCCTGAGATCATGACCTGAGCCGAAGGCAGACGCTTAACCATCTGAGCCACCCAGGCGCCCCTGACAGTGATTTTAAATCAGCCATCATAAATATGCTTCAACAAGCAATTAAAAATTCTCTCAAAACAAATGAGAAAACAGAAAATCTCAGCAAAGACATAGAAGTTACAAAAAAAGAACCAAGTGGAAATTATAGAACTAAAAAAATACGATAACAGAAATAAAATACTTGCAGGAGGGTCTCAGTAGTAGAGGTGACTCAGCATAGAATTAGTTAACTTGAGAACAGATCAGTAGAATTTGCCCAATCTGAACAGAGAGAAAATAGACTGGAAAACGTGAACAGAACTTCAGGAAGTATGGGGCAATAAAATAGATTCAGCATTCAGATAATTGGAGTCCTGGAAGGAGAGGATCATCAAGAGAGTGGGGCTCATAGATTGTGCTGATTGGGAACAGGTTAAAAATACCTTAGAAATTTTGAGGTCGGAGCAATGATTATATAACACAAATGTGTAATGGTGTCCATCTTCTATCTGCATCATTGTAATTCTCTTCTGATGGACTCCATAGCTTGTATTTGAGGTTGGAAAATAGCAGTGGATGAACTGTCCCAGAATTGAGGATTTTTTAGGGTGGGTGCAGTGGAAGGGTAAGAGAGGTGAAGCATTTGATTACAGAGGCGAGAGGACTAGAAGTGATGGAACATGATGTCCCTCTGAAGTAGAAAAGGATTCAGGCCTAAGAAGTAGCAAACAGACACAGAGAGCGCTGGGATCAAGGCGCTAGTAGTCTTGATGTGGTGAAGAAGCCATGGAGTGGGGCACAGGAGAGTAAGGGAGCTGGACGACGGGTCAGTCTGAGATGATCAGGATTGGACCTGAGGATGCTGGTGGTGGCCATGAGGATGAGTTGCCAAAATGGAATGGAATGCCACCGGCGTCGAAGAGGTACAGGGACTATAAGGGCAAGATAGTGGCTGAGTCATTCACTTGGAAATGTAAGCCAGTTACTAGTTACTAGTTACTCTGCAGTAAACTAGGAGGTCCATGGATGACAGTGACAAGAAGGGGACAGCCTGAACCATAGAAGGTTGCAGACATCTGCACAAGGCTGGAAGAGTAAATGGTCTGGATGTGACAGTACAGGAAAACACAGATGCCTCCTTCAGAGGCTGTGTGTGGAGAAGGAGCAGCCTCTGTCCAAAGGGCCTGGGACAGACAAGCACATGTGAGGACGGGGTCAAGGATTCCTGACAGAGGGCACAGCAGCTTGTTCAAAAGAGAATGGTGTTTTCCAAGGAGGAAGGAGGGATCAGGAGAACGTAGAGCCTATCATGGGTCTGAGATTTGCTGAGAGGACAGGTGTCCCTGGGGCAGAGGAAAGGCACACTGACTGGTTGGAGGTTCTCAGTAGACAGGCTGAAGCCCCACATGGAGTCAGAGACACGAACAGGAGCGGCAGCCAGCTCACCAGCAGTCTGAACCTTTGCTCAGGGATCAACGTGCAATGCTGACAAGTAATTCCAGTGAAGGTGTCAAAGTGCAGACTGTCCACAGTGGGAAAGGGAAACAGTTCAGGAAGAAGAACTTCCCAGGGTGGGTGAGGGGATTGACTTTCTTCAAGAATGCTTTTCTCTTGGTGGAAATAGTATGTCCTTGTAGTGGTGTGGTGGCCTGAGTCTTTGCCTGGTGAAATGAGAGAGTGGATTTAATGTTGGAAAGAAGGAAGGTGAAAAGGTTTCCAGCCTTTTTGTTTTTGTTTTTTTTTAGAGAGGGAGAGAAAGAGAGTGAGTGGCGGTGGGGGGGGTGGGAAGAGGGGAGGAGAGAATCTTAGGCAGGCTCCACACCCAGTGTAGAGCCCCACATGGGGCTCAGTCTCAACCCCGAGATCGTGACCTGAACTGAAATCAAGAGTCGGATCCCCAGCCAACAGAGTCACCCAGGCACCCTGGTTTCCAGCTTTTAAAGACATAATAAAGACCAATTCCTTATTTATATTTAATAACATTTTTTAAAAAGCAACTGTTGTGTTGTTCATGTGAGAAAAATGTAATGCAGAGCAAATACTTGGAACCATACTTTCCTGCCGGAGTCTTACATATGTCCTTAAGACATAGATCTTGGTTATAAAAGCACTTTCATCTAATTGATCCATGTATTGCATGGTTTTCCTTGGATAGATATGCTCACTGGATACTAAGTTGTTGCAACTTAAATATGCATTACTTAGTGGGGCACGTGGGTGGCTCAGTTGGTTGAGCATCTGCCTTTGGCTCAGGTCATGATCCCAGGCTGCTGTGATCGAGCCCCACATCGCGCCCGGCATTGGGCTCTCTGCTCGGTGGGGAGCATGCTTCTCCCTCTCCCTCTGCCTGCCACTACCCCTGCTTGTGCTCTCTCTCTCTGTCAAATAAATAAATAAAATCTTTAAAAAATATATACACATTAGGGGCGCCTGGGTGGCTCAGTCGTTAAGCGTCTGCCTTCGGCTCAGGTCATGATCCCAGGATCCTGGGATCGAGCCCCACATCAGGCTGCCTGCTCTGCGGGAAGCCTGCTTCTCCCTCTCCCACTCCCTCTGCTTGTGTTCCCTCTCTTGCTGTGTCGTTCTCTCTCAAATAAGTAAATAAAATCTTTAAAAAAAAAAAAAAACGCATTACTTAGAGCATCACTGAGAGGCACTTCATCTGGACCTAGAAAAACTGCTGGGCCCAGATAGTTGACCTAATAGTATATTGTTGACTTCTCCTGTTATCCAGTCCTGTAGGTAAACAACATTTGACTCTATCTTTGGTGTTTTCAGGTGGTTTACATCTTGGAGAAAAAACATTCCCGGGCAGCAACTGGCTTTCTCAAACTCTTGGCTGATAAGAACAGTGAACTGTTTAGGAAATATGCCTTGTTTTCTCCCTCGGACCACCGAGTGCCTAGAATATATGTGCCTCTCAAGGACTGTCCCCAGGACTTTGTGACCCGGCCTAAAGATTATACCAACACACTGTTCATCTGCCGCATCGTGGACTGGAAGGAGGACAGCAATTTTGCTCTGGGGTAGGTGATCTTTGGCAGGAAAAACCACAGAGTCCAGACAGAACTTATTTTAGGTGGCCTTTTGGTAAACTCGTTTGTGTATTTTAAACATCATTTCTTTATTAAAACATGGGTACTTGGCATATTTGGGTCCTGGTTTTCAGAAATTGTTCTTAACTACCACTTTGACTGGTCACTTGTAGAATTCCTTGAATTGCCAGAAAAAAAAAAAAATCACCTTTTTTTGTTTGTTTTTAGTTTGGGGCCTAAAACATAAGCACATTGTGAATCTCTCCTTATTTCCCATTATGTCCTAACCCCTGTTTGTACTTGTGAACTGCGAAGGATTTATTGTATCAAACAATCAGACTCCTCCTTTCAGATGCTAGTGTTAAAATATGCAAAATTCCAGGCATTTCAGGGGACTCCAGTCTCTCATGCTTTAAAATATAAATATGAAGCCGCACGGTGGGGATGGCTGGGTGGTGGAGATAAACAGGTCAGTGGTCCTGGGGCCCCCTCGCAGACCTGTTTCATGTCTTCCTTCAGCTGTTGTCGCAAAAAGACAAAAAGCAGGTCTTGGACATGGAGGAGGAGGATTTGTGGCCAGAGCTGCTGGATAGTGGCAGGATTGAGATTTGTGTCTGACTGATGCCAGCCAGACTGTCCTAGATAAATTCTCTGCTATGCCCGTTCCCATCCAGCAGTGGAACAACAATGTCTGCTTTCAGGTCACCCACGTGTTCTCCAACATCAAGATGGGTGTCCACTTTGTGTCTTTCAAACACTGGGGCCAGGACACACAGTTCTGGGCTGGTCACTGTGGAGCTCGTGTGACCAATTCCAGTGTGGTCGTGCGGGCACAGCTGTCTTAGTCAAGGACTGTCCCTGCAAAACAACCTGACTGGTGCCTTCCAGGTCCAGGGACCATTAGCCAGGACTTCTCATTAACCCAAGGGCAAGTACCTCCCTGGCATCCTGGGTGCTCCAGGATCCATTTGAGGGTCGTGCTGGGCCCCCTCTTCAGGTTCTGGAAATTACTAGAAGAGAGTTCTTTCTTCAGAGCTACACACTGCTGTTATAGGGCAGTCCTTCCCCTGATGGTGAGCACAGAGGAATGCTGGTGTTAGAGAGGGCTCTTTGTCCTCCCCCCGGAGACCCTCTGATTCAGCCCCAGTCCCCTCTGCCCTGTCTCCTCTCCTTTCTGCTTTCAGGGGCTTTATCAGTCCCTTTAGAAAAGGCCTCTCATCTCAAGTTAAAAATCTCTTCCTTACGGCTGGGAAAATTCCAGCCACCTTGGGTGGCAAACTTACCCTCCCGCAGTTTCAAGGCTGGGACCAGGTCTCACAGGTGAAAGTTGGTCAGCTCAAAAAATGTTTGGAGATCTTCAAAGACCCCTGTGGTTGCATGGTGTACTGTATGATGTATAAAATTTTTTATTTTGAAAATTTCCGTAAACATTGAGAGAATAATATATCAGCAACAACTATCTGCCAATCGTATGTAATAAATGTATTATTTTGCAAAAAAAAATATGAAAGTATATTTTAATGATGTGCTTTTTTGGTATTGATCTTTCATAGGTTTTACTTATGACATTAAAAATTAAATTACCTGACTATAAGTAGGAAAGGGTACCATATTTTTATGGGAGGTGTCAGAAACCAGTTTAACTTAAATATAGGTTATGAGGTCACAGAGCATCATGGATAGCCAATTCATTTTGATCTGAAGAAACTGCTGGACCCAGCTGTTTGATCAAAAGCTGTATCTGTTTTCTTCTTACAGTTGTATTCATTTTGAAAGAAAGGCAATAGTAAGTTTTAGCTGTATTTTTAGCCCTTTAAGATGGTGTCTGGTTTATGCATCACACAAAATGAAAATAAAAGTATACAAGCTAGAAAAGTTTATTCTGACGCTTTTAAGCCAGTTTGGTGACTTGCTTGCTGGTCATCTGACATGTACAGGATGGGCCCTTATGGGAATGTCCTGTGGTTATGAGTACCAACACTGAATAGATGGCCACTATGTATTGCTTTTATCGGATTTGTTCTATACTTAGCCTCTTATGCCTAACAAAGTAAGCTAAATCAAATCTGTGTGTTAAACCTCATGCCATTTAAGAAACACTGTCCTGTGCCACTTTTTCAGTGATGTGAAGATCAGTGTGATTTATATGATCTCAGAGCCGCTCAGGAACAATTCTACTTTCTTTTTTTGCTCTCAAGTGAAGTGATTGCAATATCATCATTTTTAAGCCTAACTCGTTATCCAAAAGTGACGTCAACCCCTTGAGTCCTACATAGTCCTTCTCTGAGGCTTGCCAGTCTCTCACCATCAGCTCCAAAGGCCTGATAATGGCTGTGCCACCTGGCCCCTGATGATTGTGCCTGCCACACTCTGCTTGGCAGTGAAAAGGGAAGACTTTCACATCAAAGCAGGAAATCCAGCCTTGTCTTTTATCTGCCTTTCTGTCTTATCCCATTGTGTATACTTGATTGGACTACTTCCTTAGTCGTCAAGTTGTAAGGGTGTAGTCAAGAAATCTTCATGATGTGTGTTTCTCTTATTGCTGGAATGGTCTTAAAGGTTCCTTTTTCACAGCTGAGCCATTACTTCATCAAGAACTCTTTTCCTTGTGGATAAATTACAACAATAGTTGAAAAAGGAGTCAAGCCTTTGAAGTAGCAAGGACATTTGTAAGAGAGAACATTTTAAAATAATGGCCATATATTAATCATGTACTTCTCAAAATAAAAATATTTGAAGGTTCTTATACTTGCATGGAAACACAAGTAAGTTTTTCTCTACCTTCTTAGTATAGAGACAGCAAAAGTTGTCATTTATGGAAATATGCCTTTTAAGATCTTAGTGAAGAAGAGAAAATTTATCTGAAGAAAGAAAGAAAATATGGCAGGCTCTCCTGATGAAGTTCTCAGATGGCGTCTCTCTCCTGAGGGGTGCAGGCTGCAGCTGTTGAGCCTGTTGGGGATCGCCTTGCCATTTTGTTCTGGCTATCAGTTACTGATCTTTAGGGACTGAGGTCACTGTTTCCCAGTCAGAACATGCTGTGCTAGGACTGCCTGGGCTTCCTCTCTCATCTTGCCAGGTTTGGACCAGGAATGTAAAGGTGGTGCTTGCTGTGGGTGTTTGTGGTCAACTTCCCCAGAAACTCTGCCCAAAAGCTGAGGTTAGCAACCCAAAAGTGACTTCCTTCTGAATTTTTTCCCTGCCCCTACACTCTGCTCTTAAAAAGTTTTGAACTTCTGTCTTTGTCATTGCTACTAATTATTCAAGCCCAAGGTCGTTTACTTCTTCTGTAGATAAATACAGTTCATGAGACAGGCATTGATCAACTATGTTTAAGTCACTCTGCTATATTTTGTGAGAAATACAAAGGTAAACAAGGTATGGTTTCTTTATTCAAAGAAATTATAGCCTAACACAGAAGGACTTGTACTTAAATGTCACAGGATTAATTTGATTCTAAGAAATGGAATCCTGTTTGAGCTAATTTACATAAAAGTGGAAATTAATATAAGAAACTGGTGGTTCTCCTAAACCCGAGGGCAGGAAATGGAGGCAGGCCTCATGAGGATCTCAAAACTAACAAGGTGGCAAAAGAATCACAGCTTCTCTCTTGACAATCCTGACAAGTCCAGCCACCTACCTGGCATCTTTTCTGTACCCCTTTCTGCACATGAGCTGTATTATTCTGCATCACTCTACACAGTAGCCGCCTGCCTGCTCAAAAGCGTACGAGGCCCCCAAATGGCACTGCCTGTCCTCTGCAGGTCACATACTGAAGTCTAGACCACGATACAGAATTTCTGGGGTAGAAAATCTTATTGGTCTAGCTTGAGACAGTTATTTGCCCTGATCAGTAGTTTTAACCAGAGGTAATGGTCCAAGGTCCTAGGCCCACTGCCCAGTCAGCAGGGACTGTGGGACTTGAGTCTCTGGGAACGAGTGTGGATAAAGCAGACAGACCGAATGGCCTCTTTAGCTCTAGCTGTAGTATGAAGCAGAATGTTGTAAGTTCTTCCATAGGAATAAAGTAGTTTTGTGGAAGTTTACCGGACATGGGTGAAGGGAGAAATCTAGGATTGTTTCTGGGAAAACGGAAGCCTCTTTGCTGAAAGATCACTTAGACAGAGAGTCCAGAGTGAATGGGAGGGGACCGGACTGAAAGCAAGCAGTCGTAACAGGCTGTTGTATTAGCACAGAGGAGATCTGGAGAACCCGAAGTAAATGAATTGCAGTGAAGGAAGCAAAAGGAATGAAAAGATTCAGAGAGGCTGAGGAAGGTGAATTCTCCCAGAGGTGATGACCAATTAGAAATGGGGCATGAACGAGAAGGATAGAACCTCGGGAACCAGGTCTCTGACTTTAGTGTTGGGGAGACGACAGTGGCATTTCATCCCGATGCACTGTGAGCGGCCTCAGCTCCTATCTTTCCCTTCTCTCATCGCTTGCCATTTCCCAAGCTGACTGTGTGTGTTCGTAGTTCCAGACATTTGCACACTACACTTGCTTTCCCAGCAGTGGATTTCTCTTCTCCCTGCTGTTTGTTTAGTGAACTACTCAACTTTTAAACTTAACTCCTTTGTCCACTTGAAAAATGTTCCCTGAGTCCTCCCTCCTGGGTGCTCCCATAGTTTGTAATACTACCATTATCATAGCTCTGGCCTGTTTGTATTGTAATTGCTTGTGCAAGTCATCTACTTGGCCATGAGTTCCTTTAGGACAAGGATACTCAGTGTCCCCTTCCATGTAAGCATTGCTTCTCTGGCAGCCCTAGTGGAACTTTGGTGCCTCCCCCTAAGGGGAGACCAAAGACTGTTACAGTACTGGAGACCTTTGGGTGTTAGAAAGTTATTTTTCATCTTGTTCTTCGAGCTGTCATGAAAGATCTCAATTCAGCCTTGGTTACCTCTGTACGTAATATCTGCCACATTTGCATGAATCTTAGTCCTGTAATACTAACAAAAACCTAAAGGTAAGCTGTTCTCAGTGAACCC